TAAAACCGAAACATTAACGTGAAAACGCGAGTCATGTTCTAAAAAAGTCTCAGCAAATCGAGACTTTCATATAGATGCCATGGATGATGCCAAACTAGCTCAGAAATATAACTGTCAAGTATATACAACCACTTTGTAAGGTCAATGGTTAAAATGGAAGCAACATCGCTTCAGGACTTCCAACAGCAGCAACAACTAAAATTGACGATTACATGTAAATCGAAGAAACATTAGAAAGATGTTGGAAATCCACACCACTTAAAATAAAGGATTAGAAGCCCCCCCCCCCACTTCAGTACGGGAAAGAGCGATAACATTTACTAGACATAGGAAACCTATTTTCTTGAAAAAAATTTTTAACCACTTCCCCGGTGTCCTTTTCAGGCAATGAGGAATAAACACGTCGAAAACATAAGGTTCAAAAGCCGACTACAAACGTGTTTATACGTCACTCACTATTTATACTAGAACATACCTATTCTAGTGTTAATAGACTCTCCCACATATAATAAGTAGTAGTAGTAGTAACAGTCGCCAGGGAGCTCAGTGAGTTGAGTGAGTCAGTCGATGTCGGACATTAAATTATCAACCACCCATAACTAGATTTCTGCGTCATTAACTATTATTTCAAGTTCCTAACGTTTTGTACGTCGAACCTTTTTTAGGACCGACTTAGTGAAATACAAGCCTCTACTGTGAAACTACTCTACAACACTATTTTTGTATGCCCTTCTGGGCTTGAAACGAGTCCAATTGTCAACTGATACGTCTGGTAGAGGTGTTAGCCATCGCTGGGTACTTCAAGGTACCTCAGATTCTTAGTCTGTCTTCATTCTTTTTATGCCCTTCTCAGCTTGAAACGAGTCAAATTGTCAACTCATATGTCTGGTAGAGGTGTTTGTCACCGATCGGGTACTTCAGGGTACCTTAGTTTCTCTGTCGGTCTTCAAACTTTTTATGCCCTTCCGGGCTTAAAACGAGTCCAATTGTCAACTCATACGTCTGGTAGAGTTGTTAACCACCAATGTACTCCAGTTTCTTAGTCAGTCTTGATTCTTTTTAAGCCCTTCTGAGCTTGAAACGAGTTCAATTATCATACCATACGTTTCATAGAGGTGTTAGCCATCGCTTGAGTACTTCAAGGTACCTCAGTCGATCCTGATTCCTTTTATGCCCTTCTGAGCTTGAAACGAGTCTATTTGTCAACTCATACGCCTGGTAGGTAGAGTAGTTAGCCAACGCTCGTGTACTTTAAGGTACCTCACTTTCTTAGTCGGCCTTGATTCTTTTATGCCCTTCTGAGCTTGAAACGAGTCCAATTTCTTAATCTTCGTGAAGCAGTCAAGAAAGTCTTCTTACAGCTGGTGGATATTTTGGTTTGGAATGCTTGCATCTTGCATTAAAAAATAACACCATTCATCTTTAAAAAAATCAAACGTTTTTCAAAAAAAATTGGCGGGGAAGTGGGTTAAGAGAAAGATAAATAATACTAATGTCTAATTTATTTACATATATACAAAGCCAGCATGCTACTCGTTGCTGTTGTGAAAGGCGACATAGTAGGGAAGGAAGAAAGAAAGAAAGAGAAAGAATGTTTGTCATGGCTGACGGTTGATGTTTTGTGAAGACGTCGGCGGCAAAGGATGAAAGTTGAAAAGTATGGGGTTCAGTCTCAGTCTGCCTGCGGCGTTCTTGACCAACCTCTGCGTGTCGACATCTCAACCGGGTCTCTCTCTCTCTCTCTCTCTCTGTGTGTGTGTGTGTGTGTGTGTGTGTGTGTGTGTGTGTGATTGTCTGTGGCGTTGAATCAAGGAATTTATATCCGTCGTATCGGTTCCAAATCACAATCTGGGACTTTTAGCAAGAGTTATTTCTACTGGTCAATATATAAAGTTCATTTTATCATTTAATACCTAAAACATGCGCCGAGCAATGATGCGCAGAGACGCGTTTTCGCATTCTGCCTTGGGTCGTCGAGCAGTCAACATCCTGTTTAGTGTAAGAAACACGACAGCCCCAGTCAGATTTTGAATGGCGAGGGTGGGAAATAAGAGGGTATTGTTAAAACGAGTGACTAGCAGTTTGTTCTCCTGATCACTACACTCTTGATCTCTTCATATCGAAGGTCAACCATTATTTTTCACGTATAGCCCCATCGAATTTCCCATCCTGCCCTTAGAGCACTAGGAAATAATTTCCATTTAGAAACCTGCTTACCCAGAAATGTTAATCGCTATCCTTTCGCTGTTATGTCGCCATTACTATGGGAGATGATTGGAAACGTTAGATTCCTTAGTGCCACCAGCTCTGACCTTCAAAAGCTGCTATACGGTGATCATGGTAGCAATCCATTAACATTCACTTCGTGATCCTTTGATAAAAGCAAGTTCCAATCAGACAGCTCCCCCACCACCAAAAAAAAAAACAAAAAAAAAAAACAAAAAAAAAACAATTTGTTGAAGAATCCCTCGAACTACAATATTATTCAGGGTCATCCGATATCTAGGTATTGACCATGCTCGACATTGCTTAACTTCCGTGATAGTACAAGAAGCGATGTTTCATAGTAAAATAACCGTAAGCCATTTATACCACCCCCAAAACCAAGCATACTGAATTTGGTATTCCCAAGCTGTCACCCATCTAGTTGCTTAACTTCAGTGATAGTACAAGAAGCGATGTTTCATAGTAAAGTAGCCGTAAGCCATTTGTACCATCCGCACAACCAAGCTTACTGCATTTGGTATTCCCGAGCTGTCACCAATCTAGATATTGATCAGGATCGACGTTGCTTAACTTCGGTGATAGTACGGGAAGTGATTTCTTTGTAAAGTGATGTAAAGTGATGTAGCTGTACGCCATTTATACCACCCGTACATCTAAATTTACAGCCGCTGGTATTCCCAAGCGGTCACTCATCTAGATATTGACCAGGCTCGACGTTGCTTAATTTCAATCAAGAAACGGGGTTCAGGAAAACAATGAGATGATAAACGATTGACGTTGCATTTTTTTTTGTTTTTTTGTAGGTAAGTAAAAAATCGGAAGGCAATTCCACAGGTAAGAAGTACGAGAAAATAAACAGAGTAGAAGTGGTGGTTGCATCTAACTAGTCAAAGAGTAAAACGGTGAGACCTAACTGCCAATCTAGTAGCACGTTTAAATTCATGCAGTCCAGGCACTAAAGACAAAAAGCTGATCGGAGTTATACTTGGTAATCGATGAAATTAAAGTGTTTTGGAAAGGAATACACTTCTCCAGAATATGACTTCGACCCGCTGAAATAGCATAGAATCACTGACGCCGGGAATCGTCGGCAGAGGACTAACCGGGAGCGAGCCTTATATCCTTACTACAGGATTCGGTAAGACTACGTCGACTCCAAACAACATTATATTTCATGACTGTCTTATCTTTATTCAGTGGAATAAAATCATAACAATATATTTGTAATATCTCCCCTACAATGTCTTCCTTGCATACAAAGCTTCTTTATCTTATCACTATTATCATTGTAAATGTTCCTGCTACATTCCTTAGTTTCACCAGTTCAGACTTTATATATAAGCCTCTCTCTCTTCACTATCGCTATTTCCATGGCAAATGTTCAGATGAGCTACATTCCTTAGTTCCACCAGTTCAGACCTTTACATCTAAGACTCTCTCTCTACTCTATCGCTATTTCCATGGCAAATGTTCTGACGAGCTACATTCCTTAGTTCCATAAATTCAGACCTTTACATCTAAGCCTGCCTCTACTCTATCGCTATTTCCATGGCAAATGTTCCACCATGACCCAGCATGCCATCTACTCTCAGTTAAATCAAGGTTACTCCATTTCTCTTCCATTAGGAAGGAAAAGCATTTCCCCCAGAACTGTGGAGCCGACTGCCACCGAGAGGAGGCTTTCTCGATCACTACAATCGTATCTACATATCTTGAAATGTGGAAATGAGCACCAGTATATAACTTCAAATAGCACATATACTCACGCCGAGAGTCGTCAGCAGATGGCTAGCTCGCGAGCGAGCCTCATATCCTTACTATAGAATTCGGTAAGACTACGACGACTCCAAGCGACATTACATTTCATGATTGTGTTATCTTCATTCAATGCAATGAATACATAACAGAAAGTTAAGCAACGGTTAACCAGGACGTTGTTAAATGGGTAACGAAATGAAAAATCATAGTCTTCGGACGAAAATAGAATTAAAAAAAAATTCCGAGTACTTCTTGTCGGCGTCTGAAGTTGTTAGGCCCGCAACGTGGAGGGAAGGAACACGTTAGACGTTCAGATATTGATCGCATTTCTCGGTGATTGCGTTTTGCTTTGCGATTATCGATCGGCTTGACATTTTGACCCAATATGGAAAGTTTAAATGCAAAGATAAATAGACACTCGAATCCCAGTCGAAGATTTTGTGAGTTTCTCGATTATCTATAAGTAGTTTAGGCATGGCTTGTTTGAACAATTATATCAGTGATTAAGTCAAGAATAAAGGTACATACGCAGAGACATGCAATAAATAAAAGCTGATAGATAGATAGATAGATAGATAGATAGATAGATAGATAGATAGATAGATATAAAAAAGCTGTAATAGATAAATAGATAGATACGAAAAGGCTGTAATATATATATATATATATATATATATATATATATATATAAGTAGATAGATAGATAAAAACAAACCTAGATAGATAGATATGAACCGACTGAGATATGAATGAACATAGATATGTAAAGATTTAGATAGATTTTAAAAGAGTTAGATTTATATATATAGATAGATAGATAGATAGATAGATAGATAGATAGAATTAAAGAAATGAGAACATTGAAAGAGACAGACAGACAGACAGTTACATAAATATGAGAAAACTGAAAAAGCCAAACAGATAGATAGATAGATAGATAGATAGATAGATAGATTGACATTTGAATAAACATATATGTATAGATTGGCATAGAGAGATAGATAGATTTTAAACAGCTAAGATAGATAGATAGATAGATAGATAGGAAAAGGCTGTAATTCATAGATAGATAGATAGATAGGAAAAGGCTGTAATTCATAGATAGAGGGAGAGAGATAGTTATGAACAGGATCAAGGATAGATAGATATAAACAGATTCGGTTTAGATAGATAGATAGATAGATAGATAGATATGAAAAAACTGTAATAGATAGATAGATAGATACGAAAAGGCTGTAATTCATAGATAGATAGATAGTTATGAACAAGGTGAAGGATATATATATATAAACACACTCGGTTAAGATAGATAGATAGATAGATAGATAGATAGATAGATAGATATGAACAGACTGTGATCGATAACGAACCAATCGAAATAGATATGAACAGATTCAATCATGACTTACATATATATACATAAAAAACGAGTTAGACGATAAACTGACTGGGATAGATAGATAGATAGATAGATAGATAGATAGATAGATAGATAGAAAGAAAGAAAGAAAGAAATTATGAACATTATAAAACGAATAAGGACGCTATGATATTATTGATTATATCTAGATATAGATATATCCGTGTCACGGTAGATAAATACATAGATTAAACGAGACATCATAATCATCATATCTCTCTCTCTCTCTCTCTCTCTCTCTCTCTCTCTCTCTCTTCTCTGTTTATATGTTATTTTCATAGATAATTTATGGATTTCAATTAAACCTCTTAAATTTACAGGCCTGGATGTTCGAAATATTTTCTGTTTATATGTTATTTTCATAGATATCATTTATGTAAATACTCTGTATTTCAATTAAACTCTCTTAATTCCATTTACAGGCCTGGATGTTCGAAAAATTTCGTAGAAAATATGCGTTCTCCGACAGGAATCGAACCTGTAACCCTTATGAGAACTGTCATATGACTTGATGTGTTGTGAACTATTCAGCACCAGATAAGCTCCCGATTAACGAAGTCCGAATTACTTAATCCATTTCATATATATATATATATATATATACTCTCGACTCTCCAGTCAAATTCGACGTATGAGGGTCAAGCAGACCAGTTCCTAGGAAACCAAAATCCCGACACCAGCACATGAGATTTGATTATAGTGGTGAAGGTCTCGTGCAGGACCATCCACATTTTTTGAAGGGCCGAATACAGAGACCTGGTGCATCGAGTGCCACAAGGTCCCCAAACGACCCTCCGCAGGTTTTGAGTTCACGGTTGTCCTTCTCCTATATATATATATATATATATATATATATATATATATATATATATATAACTATCTGTTTCCTTACAATATACTTACTTGTACTTACTGCGGAAGTCACCAGGAAACGATTGATCTGGCTCCGATAAAACGAATTTGCCGCATCCCAAACGAAAGGCGACCAAGCGTAGCAGAGGACGTATTCATTTGGATGAGCAAATGATTAGTAGGCGTTTTAGTAGGAATTTGGATTCACAAGCGGTTCCCAGCCGCATACATACACACTTTAGGATAGGGCGATCCGAACGAATCCTGCGCAACTTAGCCTGACAAAACCCAACCCTCTCAAATTGGTTTCCTCTTCGAAACAGGTTGCCAACCAACGCTATATGACCCAGTCTACCCTGCTATTTTATCCATAGCCTGGAGGCAGATAGAAGAGATGTATCCGTACCTTCCCCAAGGGTATTAGCTCGTAAGGGAATATAATGACTCGACTGGAATTCGAATTGGAAATTTCAAAGTGGTTCAATGGTTAACAAACTTATATTCGCATATAGATACATTAAACTAGATAAAACCAAACATATAATACTACCTACTAACTCTTTAAGATCTACTATCCAAAAGAATTTATCCAATGTAAAGAATATCAAAATAATTAGAACCAGATCCAAGATGGATATGATCAGAAGCAAAAATATCTATAATAATAATAATTCAGAAGCAGGTATATACAGGTGTGACACTGAGACAATGGGGTGGTTAAACATTAATTCTAAGCAGGAAAAGAAAAGGGTTAAACCCAAAATGAAATATAGGTTATAAGATAGACATTTTCCTTGGTGAGAATGGGACAGTCTGGATTTCTTCTCTGCTAAAGTTTATTTTTCTTATTTATTGAGAGTCTAGCATATGGACAAAAGAAAAAAGAAAGAGATTTGGGGAAATAAGTTTATTTCTTTCTGGAGAAATTAGGAAAACATCCTTAACAGAAAGAGAAGCAGTTAAGGATCATATTTTCATTGACAAAAATGAAAACAAGGAATTAATCCTCTTTCTTAGGGTTGAGGTTATGAAATTCAATCATGTTGTGCCAAGAAGGTGATCTGGTTTGTGTTTTCATTGAGACAATGATCGAAAACAGTTTTGTCTCTTGTTTGAGAATTTAGGTAAACAAATATATTTTTGTTGATGAAAGCAAATTGGAAAATAGTTTTTATCCATTGCTTGGAAGATTAAAATAAGAATGTGATCTGGTTTGTGTTTTTTCCTGGACAGGTGGGTCCCAGAAAGGAGTTGGAGAATTCAAATTAATGAGGAAAATAAACCACACATTTTCTCCCTACTCACTTTAAAAATTAGGTTTGTCACAAAGACATTAATACCAGCATTGAGAAGTGGGCAGAGTTAGAATACCAAGAAGGAAGAAGGAAAAGGCAGAGTTTAGCTCTGTCTGTGCAGAGTAACAGTGCGAGATATGAAGTAAAGCAGGTTGGAGTTAAAGGAGAAGCAATCCCTGTGACTACTCACAAAAAAGGTGGATGATTCTCCAAATTTTGAAAATTGATTAAGAAAACAGAATTTGGGAACCACACTCTTCCCCTACAAAAAAAATAGGTTTGTCCCAAAGACATTTACACCAGCGTTAAGGAGTGGACAGAGATAATAAAAAAAAAAAACTAGATAAAACCAAACATATAATACTACTTACTAACTCTTTAATATCTACTATCCAAAAGAATTTATCCAATGTAAAGAATATCAAAATAATTAGAACCAGATCCAAAGCTATTATGGATATGACCAGAACTTAAAATACCCAGAACAATGACAATTCTGGAACTGGTTTACATAAAAGAAAGTGACCGAATGCATACACAACAATTTATCAAATGCATTGGTTATACATGGAAAGAAATTCATGTACAACATTGATCAGAAGAATGACACATTTATTAAAAGAGAAAGTAACTTCGATGGAAGATATTTTTGAAATATCTTCGCGTCTGAGTGATTTACTCATTTCACAAGTCAACATACAAGTATATAAAAATGTAAAAAAGCTAAAAGAGGATAGATAGATAGATAGATAGATAGATAGATAGATGCGAACAGAATAAAAAAGAAAGATAGATACATAGATATGAACAGACTGTAATTCATAGATAGAGAGATAGATAGATAGTTATGAACAAGATGAAGGATAGATAGATATAAACAGACTCGGTTAAAATAGATAGATAGATAGATAGATAGATAGATAGATAGATAGATAGATAGATGCGAACAGAATAAGAAAGATAGATAGAGTACTTAGATATGAACAGACTTAGATAGATAGATAGATAGATAGATAGATAGATAGATAGATAGAAAGATAGATAGATGTGAACAGAATAAAATAGATAGATAGATGCTTAGATATGAACAGACTTAGATGTGAACAGAATAAGGTTGATAGATAGATACATAGATAGCTAGATAGATATGAACAGACTTAGATAGATAGATAGATAGATAGATAGATGTGAACAGAATAAGAAAGAAAGATAAATACTTAGATATGAACATAATTCGATAGATGTGAACAGAAGAAGGTAGAAAGATAGTTACTTATATATGAACAGAGATAGATAGATAGATAGATAGATAGATAGATAGATATGAACAGACTGTGATAGATATGAACAGAGTGATAGATATGAATAGAGAGGGAGAGAGCGAGAGATAAGAATACAGATAGATAGTTTGAATAAATTGAGATAATATAAAGATAGGTATAAGATAGATAGATAGATAGATAGATAGATAGGAACCGCTAACATTATATATCTGAGTCCTGTGCGTCACTCATTATGTTCATATCTATATCTTCCCATATATATATATATATATATATATATATATATATATATATATATATATATATATATAAACAAAATTGTCTAAGCGTCGACCTTATATTCCTCCTTTATTGTTTTCGGGCCAAGCAACCTCTTTTCTAATTGGTTCCTTTCTTTCCCGTTTGCTCAATGGCTTCATCATAAATGTCGGTGTTTTCAAACACTCGCCGCCGATTCTTTTCATCAAGGCCGTCACGGCGGATCGATTGAATTTTGAATCAAAAGAAAAGTTCGGTAGGAAGGAAGGAGAGACGATCAGGTGGAGATTTGGTGGTTTGAAATCGAATCAGAGAAATCTTTGAAGCTCCATCAAAAATGATTACCTGACCCAGTAGATCGTCTGGGGCACGTTGCTAAATTATTTACGGCGTTTGCCCAGAGCCATGAGTGCGCAAAAAATAGTACGGAATGCCCGTGAAATCTGAAGCCTTGTGTGTAATAGAGTTGCTACTGTAGGATCTGACGTGTAGCGTCGATCACGATGTTCGTAATTTAAGCACAGATGGTCCTAAGACGTCACATGAAAAAGCGATCAAGCTGCTGGCACCCAGCCAGCAATTGTTGCCTGTAACGTATATGTCTATCACTCTCAGTACATAAAACTATTATTCCTAGACATGGCATATTTGTGTGAACCGCACAATGATTGTAGTCTTATCATTATACCTAGGCAAGAAATATTAAATGAGTAAGAAAGAGTCTACTTTGAGAATTGGTACTATATATATATAGAGATAGATAGATAGATAGATAGATAGATATAGATATAGATATATAGGGTGTCCATAAAATCCGTGTGCACTTTAAAAACATTATAACTTTATTTGTATTTGCGATAGAAATAATTTGTAAAAAGGATTAGAAAGAAGTAAATCTATATTTTTAAAGGTGTTATTGAAATTTTATTTAAGTTTCCACATGTCCTCCATCATTCGTAATACAAAGAGTAATACGATTTTACAGTTCAAGGAAAACATTTGCCAACTGATTTACAGTAATGCCTGAAATCACATTAGTTATTTTAGCTATACTTAAAACTAGGTACATTAAACTTTATAACATTTTTTACTGATTATTTCTATCGCAAATACAAATAAAGTTATAAATTTCTTAAAGGGCACACGAATTTTATTACAAACTAAATACTGTGCTGATATGTAAAATTGTACAAAATTATATACCGTTATATCATATATATATATATATATATATATATATATATATAGTTCATGATTCAGTATATATATATATATATATATATATATATATAGATAGATAGATAGATAGATAGATACCGAATGCATCCCACAAAATGTTATAAATACACTAAACTAATTGATTTTGTTTTATCCAGGTTTCAGGAGGCAAACAGGTTAAAATCATTCTGTGTCAACCCCACCATGCCTTCCCAAATGGGCAATGGTGAGAGGAAAAAATCATTCAGGCTTTCAGTAATGATACTAACATTGATACTCTGGCTTTTCTTCTTCAAAGAACCATCAACAAACGGTGAATTATTTATCAGGATGTCACAACAAAACAGGAATCATCATTTTAACTTAGAACTAAAGAGATCAATTAGAAAAGATCCAACTCAATCCATAAGACGTTCTCGCACGTGAGAGAGAAGTTTCAGCTATGACAGTCCAAAGAGCAGTGTAAAAAGACTTGAAAATGAAATCGTTCGTGAAACCTGTGAGGCACCTTGTTAATCCAAGGCAGAAAAGTTCGTAGGTTAGAAAATGATCCTGGAACAATATATATATATATATATATATATATATATATATATATGTGTGTGTGTGTGTGTGTGTGTGTGTGTGTGTGTGTTTTGAGTTTATTTCAATCTTTCACACGCTTCCGATCCTTAGCAATGATTAATTTATGATGAGGATGACATTTTCGTTTACGCTCGATTTCATCACGATTCTTCTATTAAGCTTGGAGAGTAATTATAAATTCTTATTGCTCAAAGTAGAGTTCAATAATGTTAAGTATTTATCAATCCACCCACGAGGATAGAATGTGGCAAAAGGCCGGTTTAATGTGGGTATCCCCGAGCCCGTAGGCTCGGCCAAAAAAATATAGCCTTTTTGAAACCGCCTAGACGGGTTCAGGCCCTGTCTACCTCCCCGAACGAAACCTTGTCCTTCGGCAAAGCTTCGTCCGGGTTCCTCTCTGCTAATGCAGAGAGTTCGACAGACGCCGATTCGGAAGCTCACAAAGGCAGCGTACTACACTTTGATCCTAGCCCCCGGGCCGAGCAGCTTAATAATGTTATAAAAACCTCAGAGAATTCCAATAAAATACCTTTAATAATTTAAAGTTTAATCTAACAAATAGAGAATTTTGCTTTTACACGATTTACACCGGGATATAACCTGGGGGTAAGACCCTCTCACTGATGTCAAATCGGTCCAGT